CAGCACAGGGGGCGGGTGGGGGGTTTTTTTTGATGGCTCATGCATGGCAGGCTCTACCCCTGCCCTTCCTGCCTCCTGGGGTAGGGGGGAGGCCCGGTCTCCCCGAGGAGGGGCACGGCGGTCCCCTTCCTCCGTGGCTGCCTTTTCAGGCCCCCCGGGAAAGATTCCTGGCTCTCGGCCCGCCTTCCAGCCATTGCATTCTTGGGAAAACCCACGTCCATCCTTGACCTTCTCAGCTGGCCTCTGGCCCTCTGTCGTTCCCCCCCCCAAAATGGGATGCAGGCCTGGGCCGTCCTTGGTGGGTCCTCTGGGGTGTGTGTGTGTGTGCAGTGGGACCCACAGCCGTCCCTTCCCATGCCCACAGCCCCTTGTTTGGGACCCCCCCTCCGTCAACCAGCCCCAAAGTCCTCCCTGGAGACATTTCTGCACGGCTCCCCCCCCCTCCTCCTTCTCCACCAGCGAAAGCCTCCGGGCCAGGCGGCTCCCCCACCCCGCCCCCTCCTGCGCCACAGCAAATCCTTGGTTTCACAAGGCCCTGTGTGCGTGCGTGCATGCGTGCGAGCGAGCGAGCGAGCGAGAAGGGGGAAAGGGCGAAGGGCTTGCCAAAAGCCGCTTCCTGCTCCGGCGGAGAGCTGGGTGCCAGATAAAGCAGCCACTGCAGGACCACTGGGGGCAGCCCGAGGAGATGATGGAGAGAGTCCCGTGTCCTCCGACAGACACACACCTACACGGAGGGAGGGAGGGAGGGCTGCTGCTGGGGGTGCTTTGCCTGATCCTCTCCCCTCTCTCTCCCCACCCGCTCTCCACCGTCCCCCTTCTCCTCTGTCAGGCCTCCCCATCCCTCCCCATTCCCAGGCCGGGTCGAGGGCACAGCAAAGCCTCCTGGGGTCTCCCCCAAAGCCTGTCCCAGGGCAAGGATTCCTCTACGCTTCAACCCCCCCCCCTTTCTGGCCCGGCCCTCACAGCCTCTTTCGGCACCTGAAGCTCAGCTTGCCCGGCGCCAAATCGACGCCACTTTTTGGTCTTGCATATTTTTTTTGTCTATTTGACGCAGCGGAACGAACGGCGCCGGGGAGAATTCGCACTTTGCTCCACTGGGGTTGGAAAGGAAAATCCACTCAGACGCGGGTTTATGAGGATGGTCCAAAAGGTGCCGGGGAAGAGAGTTAAATGGGGCTCCATCCATCCCTCCTGCATCCCCGAGAGGGTGTGGGGGAGGAAGGGGCAGCCGGGCTGTGTTCAAGGTCAGAGAATTAAGGCTGTTTCGGAAGGTTGGTGGATGACGGGTGTCGGGGGGGGGGCTAGGCCTTCCCCCCCCTCCCCACCCGCTGACAGCAGGGAAGTCACCCCCTGAAGTCCACCCAGCTGAAACGCTCCTCTGCCCTGGAATCAGCCGCACCTCGAGAGTCAGAAAAACCCACGGGAGAAGACTCTGTGCGGGCTTCGAGACCCAACTTGCCACTCCTTGTAAGAAGGACTTCCGGCTGCCGGCGAGACACACACACACACACACACACACACACACACACGCTTTCCATAGGGTGCCCAGTGCCTGGCCATGGGGCGCCCCCTCCTTCCTCCGAGGGTGTTGGGGGGAGGAAGGGAGGGGAAGAGGCAGGCTGATGGTTTGAGGAGCTCTTTCTTCCCCCCCCCCCCCGCTCCTCCCACCGCCCCGTCCAAGCTCTCCGGGCGGCTTTATCCTGCGATGCCTCTCTCTGCAGGATTAAGGAGAATTATTCCAGGCCGTGGAGACTGAGAGAGGGAGGGAGGGAGGGCGGCATGAGGGGCTGCACGCCAGGCGGCCGCTCCCTGCACCGCCAGCGAGTCCCGGGCATCATTGCCACAGCAACAGAGACACCACACACACGCACACTTTGCATGCGACCAATGGCAGGCTTCCCACAGGCCAATGGGAGCAGGCGGGTTGGGTGGCTGCTGCGGCCACGGCCACCCTGGGACCCCCCACATGTCTTGCTCCTTGGCTTCTCCCGGGATTAGCAGCCGCCCAGGAGGAAGAGGAGGAGAGCAGAGGGTACCGCTGGAGTAGGGGTGGTGGTGGCACGGCACGGCACGGCACAACGGCCATGGGGAATCCAGCCTCACCCAATCTCTCTGTGGCACTGGGTGCCAGCTGAGCAAAGAAACCGCCCCCCCCCTGCATCCCGTTCCTAGTGGACTGGGCTTTCTCTAGTGCAAGAAAGCATCTCGAGATCCGAGGGAGATGCAGGAGGGGCTTCGTCCAGGGAGGAACTCTGTGGAAAGTTTTGCTGCTTAAAACCATAATTTCATTGAAAGGTTTTTGTTGTTGTTGTGCTTCCAGGTCACAACAAAGCCCCACAAAGAGGCTTGGCAGAACGCAATGCCCACCCTTCTTGCTTTTCCAAGGCACGCTTTCATTACAAAAAAAAAAGGGGGGGATCCTAACGCCTATTTTAGTTGCAACGGAGCGACGGCTGGAGAAGGATGGGGTTTTCTATAGATTAAGTCACAGCCGTGAACGGAATGGTCCCCAGAAGGGTCGTGCCGCGCAGAACGACCGTCATCCATCATCAGCATCACCGTTTCTATCGCACCATTAATGTACGGCTTATACACAGCCTACATTTGGGCTGTGCCAACTGAACCGAAGCAAAAAAACAAAAACAAAACCAGAAACTGTCCATCTAGGCTGGAGAAAAGGAGAAGACCAAAAATGGCCATAAATGTCAAGGCAGGGGGAAACGGTTTCAAAATTAGAATAAATCCTTTGGATGGTTCGCTTTAAAGCAACCCTTTCCAATCTAGAACCCGGCCTTTGGGGGGGGGGTCTGAATGTGAAAGGTTTTTAAAACGCTGTGTTCTGGAGTAAAGGCCCGGACGGCTCTCCTCCGCTCGCCAAGGTGGAAGCAAATCAACTTGCACAGAAATCGTAACACGGCCGTCTCAGAGAGCTTGCACCCAAAGTCCTTGCTCAGGGGTCAGCCTTATCCACGCTTAATATGGATTGCAGGAACTTGAGCTGTCTAAACCTAAGCATGCCTCTCTCGCACTACTCATCCTACCTCAGGGGACCCCGTGGTCCTTTATAAAGCCCACTTAACTAGCCACGCCGGGCTCTTGCAGCGGGAGATGCCGTCAAGGGCCAAAGCAAAAGGTGAGCCTCGCCGGATCAGGCCCAGAGTCCACCTTGTCCAGCTTTTAAAGGTGGCCAAACAGATGCCACCTCTAGGATGTACTGAATGGTCAGTTTTAATAGAACTATGCTCAACAAATTCACCCAAGACTTTTAAAAAATGGTGTCTAATCCAGTCCCCTGGAAAGGGACTCAAGGTGGCTGAAAAATGGTTTTAAAAACATAACTATTTAAACAATTGCAAAATATAGTAAACATATTATTTTTTAAAAACCACACAATTAAACATATTATTAAAAGGCAGAAAATAAAATCCCTGTTAGAAACTTAAAAACCCTTTTGTTTTGTTTTTAAAGGATAAAAGATCAGTGTTCTCTCTTAAAAATTTGCTCCTCGGTAGCAATTTGAAAATAATTTTACACCTTAAAAGCCGACTGGAAAAAGAGTCTCTTTTAATTATTTCCAAAGGAAACAGGACTTTTGGAAAAGGACCTTTTTCCAGGCTGCCTCACCTGCTAAAAGCAAGTCAATCCACGGATGACGAATCAACCCACA